CAGACATGAGGACATGGAGAGAGAAAGCCACTGAGGACTCTAGACTCGTGGAAAGAGAAAGGCTGTGTGCTGGCAGCCAGGAGGCAGGCTTGCAGAATGTACCCTTTGGTTGTTTAAATTATTATATATTCCTGCTTGTTTTTGTGTTCCTCGCCCCCAAAAAAGAGAGAATAGAAGCAAATACTGTTAAATGATGATGCACAGAGGGGGTTGTAATCATTGCAATGAAATGATGAGTGTAAAACCAATGTTCTCCCATGTAAACTATCACTCAATTCACACACACACACACAAAAAAAAAAACTTAAATAAAAAAAGAGTATCTGGGTTTGTACATCAATAAAGTCCATAAGTGAAATTGAGTCCCCTCTCCAAACCATGCTCCCTCCCTCACCCAGCAAACCTACATCTAAACCAGAAGACTTCCCACATTTGCTCTTTAAGTCTGTCCCGTGTATCTTCCATTTGCAAATATCCTCCAACTGGCAAAGAAGAACTTGTGAAACCTGAGTCCGGGGAGAGAAATCTACTGAGACAGGAAATAAACAAATAAATGCATAACCAAGTAGAGATAAATATACTGAAGAAAATGAAAGAGAGACAATAGGTGAAAGACCATGTTAGGCCAGGTAGTAAGAGAAGACCTCTGAAAATAAGACACTTGAGTTAAGACCTGAAGGATGAAAGTCAACCACTGGAATTGTGAAAAGAATGCTCTAAGCAAAAAGAAAGGAGAGAGGGAGAGGAAAGGTTGCCAAATCAGGAACAAGCAAGCCATGTTTGAAGAATTGTGGCTGGCGGGTCACTAGTGGCTTACACCATCAGGAAGTGGTAAGAGATGAGGCTAGAGAGGCAGAGAAAAGTCACATGTAAATAGAAAGTGATTAGAAGAGCTGACATGATCTGATTGGGATTTTTAGATGATCATTTGCTACCTACCTTGTGGAGAATGGCTTCTCTGGAGGTGAGAATGAGAATGACAACGGCCAATGGAGATGAATATGGAAAGCATTGCAGTAGCACAGACGAGATGTTGGAATTGTAGTCTTCCATGATATTTAATTCAGAGAAGAAACTTACCAAAACTTTGTATTATGACTTGAGTGAAAGTTTACAGAGAAGGTCTACATTCAACAATCATACACTTTATCTCAGTGATTTGGCCTCTAATATCCCTGGGTAGTACAGCTTACAAGGACACATTCTCTCAAGGCTGCCCTTTTCTCAACCATAAAATTTGCCCTTGTGATCCTTCCTTAATTCTCCCTTCATTTGAGGCATGGCACTAAAGCAAAGTGTTAATCACTGCTATTCTCTAGGTGGACAAATAGCTAACAACCTAAAGTTACAGTTCCATGTAGAATGGCAGTTACAGCTTTTGGTTCACAAAAGGCTAGTAAACATTATTGATACAAATGTTTTCTCCATCTTCCCCCAATGCTGAGAGAACACTACTTCCCCATAGAACCATATAAAAAACTTCTTGGGGACTGTTTTAACTATTATTTAGTCTAGAAAAAGTCTAGAACAAAGTGGGTTTTATTCCCTGACCCATGGGGACATAGTTGTCACTTTTAGAAATTCTTTCAGCACTGACTATTACAGAAATGAAGTTCATCTTTTTTAACATGGTAGTTAAACTGAAAACATGATATAGAGTTCAAATCTCTTGGTTTATGCATTTTGATAGTTTATATGAATTTATCAAGTAATGTCAGTTGAGGACTAAGGTACGTCTGACCCAAGTCATGGTATTTTCAATAACCTCGTATGCATGTGAACATTGGACAATGAATTAAGAAGACCATAGAAGAATTGATGCATTTGAATTATGGTGTTGGAGGAGAATATTGAAAGTACCATGAACTGCCAAAAGAACAAACACATCTGTGTTGGAAGAAGTAGATGCTTCTTAGAAGCCAGGATGGCCAGACTTCATCTCTCATACTTTAGACATATCAGGAGGGACCAGTACCTGAAGAAGGACAGCATACTTGGTAAAGTGGAGGGTCAGCAAAAAAGAGGAAGCGCCCCTCAAGATGGATTAGCACAGTGGCAGCAATGGGCTCAAGTGCAGCAACAATTGTGAGGTTGGTGCATGACCCGGCAGTGTTTCGTTCTCTTTTGCATAAGGTCACTGAGTCAACACTGACTAGATGGCACCTAACAACAATCAAATAATTGTGGATAATCGTAAAGGATTTAGGGTCAATCTTCTTGGGTTCATTTAAATCCTGGTTTCATACCTGCTGTGTAGCTTACGGGAAGTTACTACACTTCAGTAAGCCTGAATTTCATCTATAAATTAGAAATCTGAAATTGGTGAAATACACTAAAAACTATGAATGACAGAGAACACTTCTAAACCTCATCTACTCCCAGCCTTTAACTCCCCTACATACAACTCACCACAAACACAAACATATACCAACACATACTTTCTTGCATACACAAACACACACTTCTAGGTAAGAGCCTGCATTCTTGGGGGGAAAAAA